CATTCCATCACTAAAGGACACCACAACTCCATACAGTACAAAAAAAAACAGAAATGAGACAATAAATGTTGTAAAAATAGATTCCCACAGATAGATAACACATATACTAGTTAATGGTTCATGTTTTCAGAAGCCAGTGTTACAGTACAACAGATAAACTACATACTTCACATCACATCACAAAACCCAAGCTTTGTTTATGTGTCTGATGCAAAAAAAAAGAAAGTCCTTCTCAGCACATTGGTTAATGTTGTCAAGTGAGTCAAGTATGTGGTGTTAGTTAATAATGCTAGCTAATGTGTCTGCCAGCATTTCTTGCTTTGTTGGTTAGTTTGTTCACAATGTAACTCAAAAAGTAATGAATGTATTTTGATTAAATCTTATGGAGAAGTAGGGTTATGGCCCAGGGAACAATCCATTAGATTTTGGTGCTGATCCAGATCACCATCATCAAGATCCAGAATTTTGTTTTTAAATTACTCTTCACCATTATGACTGTTGGAAAGGCTGTTGACTGTTTGTGGTGCAAATATAAACTCAACCAATGGAAAAACTGTGACAGTACAATAGATATGTGACTTTAGCAAGAATTCATAACCGAACTATCATTAAATGTGTATAATCTATGTGCTAATCATAATAACTGCATATAAAAGATTGCAATCTGAATAATTTTGCTAAATCATTTGTTAATCATGTTGAGTGGTGCCAAACAGCATGTTTTCATGCCGTTTCTTTGCAGTAGTTGTTCTGAGAGGATAACAAACTGAAAGTTAACATGAATTGACACTGTAGCTAAAAAGCTACAAAGGCATTTAAATCATTTACACTAAATTTCATGTGGGCTTATTAAGTTAACTGAATGTTTTGAGAGTGGCTCATGTGATGTTCCTGTTGTGGCCTAAAAATAACCCTTCTGCTTGACTTTGTGGGATATCAGGCAACTGCAACAGCAAACAGCCTTTAAACTGCCATTCTGACTTTGATCAACAAGAGGTTGAACAATTCTGCGTGCACTGATACCCCAAAAAAAGCATATCAAATTCCAGAAAGCCATGACCCTACCTCTCTCTGGTCACGTTTTTCATCAGACATCAGTGTTTCATGCACTGAACCTGCATTTACCAGATGGAGTGGCAGCCAGTGTAACTTCACTCTCATTAGAACAACATGGTATGTCATCACACAAATGTACAGCTTCGCCACATGTGACTTAAGCAGGACTCCAAAAGGCTGTTGTTGGAAGCATCCTCAGCCCATACTCGAATATCAAAAGCAATTAAAAAGCTTCATTTTTGCAGTCTACAGAAAGAAGATCCATGATCATAAAAGTGCTGTGACGTTGCACACTATTTACAAAAGCCCATTATCTTTGAGTGTGATGGTGACATTTCACATTCTCTCTTTTTTCTGAGCAAATGTTGATGATAACTCACTTAAAGTCTGCCTTTTAAAATGAAAAAAATCTCCCTAAAAGTATGGGGAAAGTAATAAATGATATTTAGTCTCAAGTGGATTTCAAGTACAGAAATTTTGATTTGGAAAGGAGTCACTCTTTAATGCCACAGTTTGTGGGTTTAAGACTGAAGCCACTTGGGAATCGTGTCAACAGCAAATGAAGGTAGATAGTGCCGACTCCATCCAGGTTTGTCAGCCAGGTACGGCCAACGTACCAGAAAGGACAAATCCTTTTATAGGCTACCCTTCATTGCCACAAAGTCTGCCAAGCTTGTCTCACTGCTCAGCCATATTTCTCACCTTACCCCATTAATTAGTCATTAGGCACCGTTTCTGTTTTCAGTACTGACACTGATCACACACTAATGATAGAGTTACAGACACAGGCTGTTGCTTATAAGGCCTGTTAGAGACAAAAGTTGTGTGTGTCTATACATGTGTGCATTTCTGTGAGTTAACGTGACTATGCAATTAATAGCCTGTATGTGTGACGGGAGGAGAGAAATAGAAACAGAACGGGAGCAGGAACAAGGGCATCCCTATAACAGCAGCCTGCTGAGACTTTGTCCTACATTTCTCTCTATTTGTTTCACAGGAGCACAGAGGAGGAAAAAGAAGGGATGAAGGATGAGGGATGAGCCAAGGTATTAAAGGTAGATTCAGATGTGGGTGGGAGAGGGCACAGTATGCTCCTATTTAAACTATCACCAAAATAGCATCAGTTTGGCAAGTGAAGTGAGATGCAGAGGAACAGAAAAGACAGTGTCTTATCATACATTAGTATGTGTTGCACAGAACTGTGGTAAACAACCACTTTGTGAAAACAAACAGATGGGCAGTCATTCGCAGCGATGCTACATTTTCATTCAAAATAAATGTTCTCTTAACAACAACAACACAGTTGCCAAGTAAATGACTAGTAATCTCTGTCTCAACTGGGAGTGCAGCCCATTAACAGTTCCTTCCTTTGAAACTGTCTACCTGCTTTCACAAAAGCTTTTCCGTGTTGTTCTTTAGATCTTTGCAGCAGGATATTAACCAACAGAGCTCCTGCTAGGAAAGCCTCACTTGCAGAAAGCTAGAAACAAAACAGCTCCTGGGAGACGGGCGCCTGGCCGCAAGAAAGGTACGCTTTCTTCAGGATTTTACCCACAGTTGTTATGTATGGGTGGGTGTGTGTGTGTGTGTGTGTGTGTGTGCGCGCGCGCGCACCCTTGCCCCAAGGAGCTATCCAGCTTCGCTGGAGTAAACATAAAAGCCCATCACGCAGCTTCAACCCACATGCACTTACTCCACCACATCTCTTTTCCCTGTTACCACAGGGACTCAAACATAATCCTTCCCATTACTCTTGCCTTTTTCACAGACAATTTCAGAATGATGTCACTTCATTAGACGGCCTAAATAACAGTGTGGAAGAGAAGGGGATAGGAAACCACTGAATCTGAATTGATTATGCTTTTGTAAGACAAGGCCTTTAACATTTGGTCCAGTAATTACTAAAATTCAAAGAATGATCTATAAGTTTCCTCAGTCACTAAACATTTAGTGGCAATGGAGAGAGGGGCCATCTCCGAGCCTGATCATTTGTACGAATGCCTCTCCTACATCAGGAATGTGTGCATATGCAAGCACACCCAAGTTGACAATCAGAGGAAGATTATGTTCTTAGGCTAAATTTATTGGGCTGTTTACTTGTGATGGTTAGTGTGGATGCAACATGCTACTCTCACAGTGATAATTGGGAACCATTTGTCCATGATTTCCATACGGTACATCCTGAATTATTTTTAAGATGGAAAATACAGACAACTTTAGCCAGTACATTTTATGAAAATAAATTGGGTCAACAGACAATTGAGAAAGATTCTGTGTCAGGTCAGCTCTACAACATGTAATGATAGGTGTAGAGCACATATTGTAAAATGTTGTTGTGATGAAAGTATAGCTATGATACAAGTTTGGCCCTGTTTAGGATGTCAAAGTGTACTGAACAAGTTTGGCCCTGTTTAGGATGTCAAAGCCCCCACAGTGTACTGAAACTGATCCGGGTTGATCAGTGGTGTCCCTGAGAGGACATACAGTACACAACTGAGTGACAAGCTTAAGCAAATCATAATGATGAGGGTAGATCAGAGACCAGTGAAGCCAAGTGACTCACAAAGAAATACACTCAAAGTGCACTGTAACTTGTAAGATACAACAAGGAAATAATACAGCATGAAAAACTGTCTATTCACCAAAACTACTGTATCTTATGACAAGATATACAGTATTCCTACAAACCTTCCTCCTTTGTTGTATAGTAAATAGTTCATCAATGTTTGCATGTCTGTCAAGGAGGCCTGATAAGTGTCAGGTTACCCTCTTGATCATGTCAAATGCATTCATTCCAAGGTATCTCACCCTCACCCATTCCATAGGTGAAGCACTAAATATTTAGGCTTTACTTCTTTAAATTGATGATGTATTAATGAAAGCACAGTCAAAGGCACACTGAGTTAGTGTGCAGGGCATGGCAACACATTTTTTGTTATTTCATTGCCAGAAGCATCTGCAACAGCTTCTACACCATTGGAAATAATAAACCACCTCTTTTGGTTTAATTTGAAATCAGTACACTCTGAACAGTGGTACTCCAAAAGAATAAGGGGACCGATCTACTACAGAAGCATTTTGTAATTGAAGTCAAGAGGTGCAGGACAGCCATCAGCAAACACAGTAGCACCTCATAAAAATAACACATTTTAATGTTGTGTTTTGCTGTTTGTCGATTTCTTTGCTCAGTGTGGAAACCCATGGTGACCAGCGTACACAGAGACCCATAATGTATCACACCACAAATCAAAGGGAATTAGGTTAAATAAAATGTTTAGCTGCCTCTTTGCTGCTGTTCATATTTCTCTGATGATGTAGTGTCTTTCCACTATAGTCCAATCATGGGATTCACTGCCACAGCTAATAAGTGTGTATCTCTACCAGAAAGAAACTTGTGCAACTTCAAATAATAATAATAATAATAAAAGAGTAAATTCCAAACTATCCCCTTCAAAGGCACAATTTTGGTCTGGATGGTGTAAAAGTACAGCTGCAGTGGTTATCAGACAGATGCCAGGCTTGCAATGTGTCTCTGGGTGACTGCCAAACAGGGCTACGAATAAACGATACACACACTCGCGTTCTCACACATAGAACAAGCTCTCCAACACATACAGTATATGCCTGTCTCTGTTACCATGGAAACTGAGAGGCCTCCCATTGACAAATCCTCAGATGTAGATGTGGGTGTGTGTGCGTACTGCATGTGTCTATGTGTATCACTCCTTGTGGGGGTGTGAAAATGCACATTTACATTCTAGAGAATGCACTGTGTGGAGATGAGTAAGGACACGTGCGCCAACCTTTAATACACTGTATAGAATGTAGGCCAATGTAAACACATGCAACAAATTTGTTTTACCATCAGGAACTGCTTTACCATCATCAGTAGCTGCTGAAGCATGTGTAAAATTTCAAACTGATTTAATAAAATTGATACTTACTCTGAGGAATCTATAAAGTATATTCCAAGGGCCCCGATGCTGAGCGCAAAGACTAACACCACCTGGAGGAGAGAATAACAGACAAAAGAGAAATACATGTTAAATCTGCTCATTTTCACACCATATATTAAACAAAGTATTCAGTTAGGGTGGACGTAACAAGCAACACTAGACTGACTATCTGAAATTAAACAGACTTGCCTCCAGTAGTTTGCATCATGAATGCTCACGCTCATGTCAGCAAAAGCAACATACTGAAAATGGGCAGTGTACAGTCAGCGCAATCACAGGAAGCAAAGAAAGGACAGATTTGTAAGATCAACTTTACAGAACAACAGCAACAATGTGTGTAGGGGGTGTTGAGAGGAAGTGCTTAGAGAACACCACATTTATCAAGTGTTGATGTGCAGTTCTCAGCTACAATGTTTGCATTTTGTGAGATTGTAACCCTGCTGGACTATGGTCTGTATAATGTTTGAATGATTATATAAGAGTGGTAATCTGTAATCTGTACCCACACGTTTATTGAGTAAGCGAGATCTTTTAGCACAATAGCCTAACATAGCGAAAGATAAAATTATATTCAAATTTCTGTCCTGTTCACGTAGAAAAATTTAAACTTGTCTGCATATCATCCATCAAGAGGAAATGTCAGCTTTCTCTTCTTCCATATCCTTGGACAAAACAACTGCATGTGCCACAGTAATTCGCTACAGTAAACTGCACTCAAGCATTAGAGCTCACATCACCATTGTCATTGTTAACAGATGACCAACGTAGTGATGCGATCCTTTCTCCCATTCAGACACCTCACAATATGAGCCTACTATCCCTGTTAATTGTATCATTCATAATTGATGATGGGAGCTTGATTACTTTCATATGAAGGAATTAATCCAATGCATTGTGCCCAAGATATTAACTAAATATCCCATCCCCTTGCATTTTTAATGCTTTCAAACTTGAATGGAGAACAATAGCGACCTTGGACAGAGTTGTCCAGGGTTGGAATAACCTTACAAGCCAACGATGCTCCACACAAAGAGGATGGGGAGAAGGTTCAAGCTGAAACTCTATGATATAATCAGGGTATATGAATGAGAAGCACTCCACTGCTCAGATTAGGAAAGGAAATAGTGAACCAATCCAAACACTGTTCTGCTGTCTAGTAGGGATTTCTATTAGGTATGTGTACATCAACAAATCTAAGGAAATTGGATGACAGTCAAAAGACATCTTTCTCTATTAAACTTGACAATGTCAGCCCCGCTAACATGGAGAAGCACAATCTTAAGCAAAGAATGTGTACAGTATATTCAGGTACCGTACATATAGATGTATATGACTAGAGAAAGGGTCAGAAATAAGCAGATAAGTGGTTGGTTGCTGAAAAGCTGAGCATTGAGCAGTGAACACCCAGCAAAGAGCTGAGGAGTTAAACAACGTCATCACCTTAAACTGACCCAGTTATTAAACTGTGAAAGCCAGTCTGACTCTCCAACCTCCCAATCCCCCATCCAATTCTTCCTCTCTCACACGCTCTCTCTACATACAGTGTCTACGAGGGCTGGCTGTCGACCTCAAACCCACAAGCTACCAAAGACAACCAACTGAGAAACCACCGCTCCAAATCAGGGCCAATGTAATGATACTCAGGGGAAGCCTACAACAATGGTAATGGCTGAGGGGCATTCCCTCTGCCTCCAAATGAAAGTGAGAAAATGATAACAAACTCAGCAGCAGTGAAAGGACCATTAACTATTAATGTTGCATCTGTAATAAGTGAAAATTACTTTATGAGGCTGTTAATAAGCATTTCATGACACGTGTGATGAGAAGCTTCACTCAGCCCCGTTTGTTACAGTAGCAACAAACTGGAATATGCCAGCATCATGCCAGAGTAGCTGATGTGAGGTCTATGCTTTGTGTTTAGTTAAATCTGCAATCGATACATGTGAACAGCTGATTCGCTGTTGCGACCCCCAATGAGGAACAGCCGAAAATAATAGTAGTTAAATCTGCAATCGCAAACACAACCATGGTTATGGACCTGTAATGGCTTCAGTCTTGTTTAAGCTGTCTAAGCAAAAAACAAAACAAAACAAAACAAAAGCTTGGTGAAGTATAGAAAGAGTGGAGGACAATCTCCTTTAAAATCAATTACTCATTTAGCTTCAGGATCCACTTTTCAGATACGCATCATCTCCAGTAAAGTCTTGTTGGTCCATAGACCATGGAAAGTAGAAAGTTTTAATCTGAAGCTATTTTAGTTCAGTTTTAAAATAAAACGCCTAGGGCTGATGAGGCAGCCCACTTGTGAGCTCATTTGCATGTATTGTTACAGAGTAAAGCTCTGGTCTAACCAGTGTACGGTTTCTGCCTTCCTTTGACTTTAATCCCTAAACATATACAATGCATTATAGTAGGATTCAAGCAGGTGAATGGTAGTCAGTAAATACTCATACAGATATCGTCAGAATAATCCACATCAGTGAAACAGAAGACAGATGCAGCTCAACAGTGTTCCTGCACTCATCAAATTGTCACAATGTTTGCGCTGCAGAGCAAACATCAGCACCCATTCCAAGCATGTTTTCATAATAAATACCCCTACATCAGTTCAGATTTAGGCACAAAAGAAGAAAGAATCACTGCACAAGATGAGAGTGTGAATGTCAACAAATGAAGCCTCCATTAAACTTTGATGGCACGCACTTGTACATCAGCACAAATCTCCCCTCTTCCTCAGCCTCAAATGGCAGGGAGCTCTAGATGGATACGCAGACGTATTCATGATCTGACATTCTGTTAGAGAGAAAACATACTCTGTATTCCAGTCGCACTCTGCACAACACAGCCTGCACTGCTGATATAATTCCCACTTTGTGACTGAGCGGGTGTACCAGAGGCATACCGGTCATACCGCAGCATTCTTACCAATTGGGCAAGAGTTGCCAAAGATGGATGGTGTTTCTTTTAAGCCAGTGGTGATTAACAACAAAAGAACACAGATGTTTTTGTGTTCAGAAAATTAACAACTAACAGGATTTACAAGTATAACAAATGGTGGGTATTGTTTTAACAGACCTTTGTCAAAATTCACATCAAATCTTAGAACCTTGAGTAAAGACACTTCAGTCCCAGGCTATCAGAGCACTGGAAAGTCCATGAGGCTCAATCTGCTGATACCTAACCTCTGAACAAACTTTGCTAATGCTAACCTCCATGAATGCTAATTACAACTGCACCCACCCTATTTTAGAAAAAAAAGCCCAATCATTTTGCATGTTTGACTGCCAAACGAATAAGGCCAATTATTAACCCAGACTTCAAATATACCCTTTATAAATTATGAGAGAAGCAAAGGACAAAAACAGACAGGATGCAAGCTGAAGCCTGAATAAGTTGCATTGATTTGTATCAAAATGATGCACTCTTGGATTTGGCCCGGTTTAACCCTAAAGGCCTTTATGAGACAGATGCCCACATATTGTTTCAGGTAACAGGAATGGTGATTGACAGGGGAAAGGATGGGAAGGGGGGTCAGTATGAATAAAAGCCTTTCAGGTCTGACAGGATGACAGTTCCTAAAATGAGCATCTGCCAGTGAGAGATGAAGAGGAGGCCTGTGGGTTTCTGTTACAGATGGACAGGACAACCTGTCTGAAAAATCTCCTCTAAAAGTTTCTTTGTGACATCATTAATTCATTTTTGTGCTACTACAGCTTACGTTGTTGGTGAATTAAACCATCCTAACAGAGATTCACATTTGAAAGATATACAATATGCTGTAGATTTTCCCTTTACAGCATCCTGTGTCTAATGACAGCCCCCTCCCCATGAGAACACTGTAACCATGACCTTGAACATTCAGTGGAGAAAAGAGAAGAGACAGAAAGATGAGGGTGATAATGACTGGAGATGATAGGATATTAGAGAGAGGACTCTCTCCACCCTCACCTCATGGGACATGAGGAGGTGGCAGAAAATGACTTGTGGCAGAGACAGAATGAGAGCAAAAGATAAAGTAGCTGAAGAGAAAAACGAGTGGAGGCAGGAAGAATATTAGATCATTCTATAAGGACACAGCAAGACCTTCAATGTCACGCGTCTGTGCATGCATCTTCACCTCTATGTGTGTGTCTTCCACCTCTCCATCTGTTCAAGTTTTGTGTGGGTGCATGTTTGTCCATGAGACAGAAGGGAGGACCCCTGTTGGGACTGTGCCAGAGCAGAGAGGATAAGAGGATAGATGTGACCAGCCTGCAAAGAGCTGCTGCCATATAGAGTGGAAAAATCTTCAGTTAAACCATCATATCCATTCTCCACCCAATATTTACCACATCAAATGATTCCTTTTGAAAACAGCACTATAACTGCAAAATATCAACAACAAAAAAAACTGTAGCTAGAGGATCACATTTGTTTTAGTGAAATGTGACATTTCAGCTGTTACAGTGATGCCAACTCAATGGTAAGATAATATTAAAGACTTAACATGAGAGTTCAGTGGAGGCTCGCTGTGAACTAACATCACAGACTATTAAACTTTGAGTAAACCTTGGCATTTTGCTGCTGGATATCACATGTCCACAAACCTGTCCCCAAGCCTCATGGCATCTAGAGTACCAACTGTCAGTAATGGCAGCATGCATGACAAGGACAGCATCCAACACCCAGGCCCAATTTCTGGTTTTACTGCTTAAAGAAAAACCAATGTAAGTCTAGATATAAGCCCTTCTACACAGTTTCTCTATTAATCCATTAATCCAGAACTTCAACCTGGTGAGTTGCTGTCACTGTAGGAACCAGGTTTATCAAAAGACAGATTTATTGGCCTTACTCCAAAACTGTTAGACTCAGTGCAAACAAAACATAGTTTCCTGATCATCATAGGTACAATGTTACTTCCAAGGTGAATCATACAGACTTTTCCTTTTCATTTAACAGTTTTAAGTGCCCAGTACTAAGTTTCCTCTGCTCTAATTTCCCAGCAGTGTCGCTATTTTCAGACCAAAGCAGCTTGGCAGATCAGGTTATAAATTAATTTACTTTTTTTTTC